CCCCCTCCCCACAGATGCAGCTCGTGAGTTGCCCGAGAGCTGCTCTGTCTGTGTGTCTGTGTGTCTGTGTGTCTGTGTGTGTGTCTGTGTGTCTGTCTGTGTGTCTGTGTGTGTGTCTGTGTGTCTGTCTGTGTGTCTGTGCCGGCAGGACGGGTGCGCTGCGGACGGGGCTCGTGTGAGCAAAACTCAGGTGGTGCCAGGACGGGTCGGTGCAGGCCCGAGCGAAACTGGCACCGCCAGGAAACCCGGGGGGGCCGGGCTGGGGCTGCTCCCGACGGACCCAGATGGGAGCTGGGGCAGGGGCTGGGGGGGCAGGGGCTGCGGGACCCGCACCCCCAGCAGGGGGCTTGGCACGGGCTCCCCGCAGAGCAGCCGCCTTTGTTTGCTTTTGGTTTCCTTTGGAAAACCGGCGCCCTCGTCACTGAACCTTCGTGACCGGAACGCAAATGGCCCCGAGAGGCAGAGGGCGAGGCAGGGATCCCATTATGTGTATGTGAATCCCTGAGCTTCGGAAGGTTTGCTTACCCTCGCAGTGGTCACTTCCAGTGGCACTGGAGATACTGCAGGGACGGGTTGTGTGCGGGGGCTGGAGAGGTGCTGGTGTCCCCACCAGGGGGGAGAGATTTGCCGTTGGGAGCTCGGAGCGACCGGCCGGGCGTTGGAACTGAAGCTCCTGGCTCAGGGTTGGACGCTGCTCCTGTCCCACGGGATGCGTGATGGGACTCGTGGGAGCTGCAGCCTTGTCTGAGCTGGACAAGGAGTTGTGGCCCGGGGACGGAGGGGGCTCTGCCACCGCGGGTGCCGAAGGGGTTAATGTCGGTGTGCGACGCTGCGGGAGGTGCCGGGAGGTGGAGCAGGACAGGGCTGGGTGGCTGCCTCCCTCCCTCCCTGGTGGCCTGGACACCAATTAAGCCCCCCAGGCAGAAGCTGAGACCCTGCCGGCTGTAGCTGGGGGTCCCCATGCCTGGGGATCACAGGCTGACCTGGTGCTGCCATTGGGGGTCTCCGTGGTCTGGGGGCATCCTGAGCTGCTGCACCTGCTGTGCCACTTCGAAGGGTCCTGCTCTGCTGCAGGACCCCTTGCTTTGCCCTCGTGGCCCTTCCTGCTGTGCATCCAGGGGTTTTGTCCCTCAAGGGTGGTCTTGGAGAGGCTGCAGGGGTCTTGGGCTGGCTGGGTGCCCTGAACTGGCTCTGTGGAGCTTTTAAGAGGGCACTGGTGTCCCCAAGAGCTCCTGAAGGTCCCAGAGCCAGGAGGGCAGAAGTGTCCAGGTTAAAAAACCAGGAGCGTGCCGGACCGGAGGAGAGAACCAGCAGCGAGTGAGGCTCATCGGGGCGGGGGCGGCGGGGCCGCACCTCCCCGGGCATCGGCGCAGTCTGGGGACAGGGGACGTGGGGGACACGCGTGGCTCCCGCTGCTGGCAGCAATGGAGATGGCAGTGATGTCCCCTTCTCTGGCTGGCATGGAAAGCCCTCTGAGTGCCTGTGGCGTGGGGGGTGCCCGCTTCACTGGTCCAGGGCCATGGGGTGCAGCCTGATGTTCTGGGATGAGAAGGGGGAGCCAAAACCCCCGGGAGCAACCGTGGCAGGAGCAGACCGAGCACTCACAGGGGCTCCTGCCTGCCCGGGGTGGCTGTGCAGCCTCAGCACACGGACTGGAGGTGGTGTTTTTCCCCTTTTGCTTTGAGGTTTTGGGTCTGGCACAGGCTCTAGCACTGTGTCCTGGTGGGACCCGTGTCTTGGTTCCTCTTGCTGCTGCCTGGGGTGGGAGAGGCAGTGGTGGCCAAGGTGCTGGGGAGGGAAAGGGACAGTTTTGCTTTCCCCAGCACACTGTGGCTAGAGGAACTGGTCCTGCTCTGACCCTGCTGCTCCCCCTTTGCCCTGGGGCCTCGTGGGGAGCAGTTTTACCGAGGGATGTGCTGGGGACAGGACAGGCAGCTGGGGACATGGTGCTCTGCCCCAGGCACGGGTAACAAACATTGGTTTTATTTGGGGAGGTTTAGATTGGATGTTAGGAAGAATTTCTTCAAGGAAAGAATTATCAGGCATTGGAACAGGCTGCCCAGGGCAGTGGTGGAGTCACCATCCCTGGAGGGACTGAAGTCATATCGACACAGGACTTGGGGAGCTGGTTTAGTTAAGGACTTGTCAGTGTTAGGTTAACAGTTGGACTTAAAATGAAGGTCTTTCCAACCAAGGGGATTCTGAGATTTATCGTTGCAGCAAACAAGGTGAAATTTAGAAGGAGTGTGGTAAAGTGTCAGGCGGTGCCGGGGGCTGGTCCTGCCGGGTCTGTGGAGGAGGCGGGGAAGGAGGAATGTGCAGCGAGCCCGGTCCCGGAGCCGCGGCCTCCAAACATCCCCGCGTGGTCGGGGCTGCCGTCTCTTTTGGTGGAGGGTCTTTGCCTGGGCTTTATACCCCTTGTCTGGCCGCCCCGGGGAGCTCCAGGC